ATGGGCAATCTCCTTGTCATTCCCATTTTAGGGCCTGGCCTGACACAGCCGTCTCTCCATGGATCCTTCCCAATGCCTTTCAGTGCCGCAGGGCAGGGCCCGAGAGCATCCTCTAGTTAGCGAGCTGGTGGCAGATCGAGTTTCAGGGCCCCGGGCGATGTGCACTGCCGAGACCGCCTGGCGTCCCCTGTGTCTTGTGCGGGGCAGATGAAAGAGGCGGCTGCAGGCACTGCTGGGTGCTCTGGCACGCCCACACAGAGCAGCCTGTTCCTGCAGACGCTAGCCGAGGGCGGGGACGAGGGACAGGCTGTTGGTGACATGAGAATAGAGGACTTGGCAGCTGGAAAAGTTGATGCGTGTACCCTTTCATCGGAGGCCCTTGCTTCCTTCCACTCGTTTTAATTGACTGCCCCGTGGTTGCTTGTGGTATGAGGTTGGGAGCATCGATTACCTTTGTTCTCACCCTCTCTCCGTATTTTATGTAGACCGGTGTGTTCCCATCGAGCCTGAATTTAATTTCACGAGCTATGTAGGACACTTAGGAAGTATGAGTTGATGATAATATCTGGCTTTCTGCATTTTGTCATATTTTACCATCTGTGCAACACATGGAAAGTGTGAGATTTCTGTTTCTTTGCATGAGAGATATTATGGAGGGCATAGGCATACAAGATAAAAACTCATCTCCTCAGGATCATCGCTGCCACCAGGAGGCCTTAACCTGGGACCTATAGCCATCGGGGGAATCGATGGCACGATTCGAGGGCTCCTTGAACAGACTGAAGTTACATGCAAATTTTTGTGTATAAATTCTTGTTTGCATTTTTCTGGAGAGTTTTCAAGGCATGTGAAACCAAATCATGATTAAGGATGACTGAATAAAGATTTCAAGATCCTGAAATTGAACTAGCTATATCTTCTAAGCAAGGCTTACTATATTAGTGTTCATTTCTTTTGGTTTTAAGGAAATTGCCTTGAAAATCCTGTTTTAAAACAAGCCTGTAACTGAACGTCATTCTGCCTTGGTCATCTGATTGAGGACTGACGTGGTTACCTTTTATGCACTGCATGCTGTGTGGGAACTGAAAGAAGACAGAAGGGCGCCATCTAGAGACCTGAACAAAAATCTCACCACTTTCCCATCAGGCCCAGGCCTCCTCCCTACCTGGGGGTCTTCAGTTGTAGTAATTCTTTTTTTTTTTTTTAAAGGGGCGCCTGGTTGGCTTAGTCATTAAGCATCTGCCTTCGGCTCAGGTCATGATCCCAGGGTCCTGGGATCGAGTCCCACATCGGGCTCCCTGCTCAGTGGGAAGCCTGCTTCTCCCTCCCCCACTCCCCCTGCTTGTGTTCCCTCTCTCGCTGTCTCTCTCTCTGTCAAATAAATAAATAAAATCTTTAAAAAAAATAAATAAAGTAGGCTCCATGTGCCAGCGTGGAACCCAACATTGGGGCTTGAACTCATGACCCTGAGATCAAGACCTGAGCTGAGACCAAGAGTTGGACGCTTAACCGATTGAGCCACCCAGGCACCCCAGTTGTAGTAACTTTTTTAAAATTAGGAACATTTTTTTCCTCTCAAGTAACTGCAGATCACAAAGGTGTGTGTCAAAGATATTTATAATCTATACAAATGCTCCAGGTGTGGGTGTAGCCTGGCTACTTTGGAAACATAATTTTAATAAAAGTATAATGTTGTAGATGGCATTTACTCTTTCATAGGCATATAGGTTTTAGGATCTACACTGCATTTGAATATACTTTTAATTATAAATTATAGCAAGAACAAATTGATGCCTGCTATAAAATCATGTTGATATAGGGACTTTTCTTTTTGTATTTTCTTTTAAAGCAAGAACAAATTTAGAATTGAGTACATTGTCTTAATTACTCTTTGTTTTCCTTTTAATATGGTGATTTAGAATGGTGTTTGCCACATGGTGCAGAAACTGTGGGGTTGCAGAGTTGAATTCACTCTGGAAAAATAGATCAAACAGGATTTATATCCACGTGAAGATGTATCACGGGTGGTTAGAAGCCTGTCTCTATAGCCCCAGCCCTGCCATTACTTCGCAGTGTCGAGCACGTTCACTTGTTTCTTCTTTTATACAGGAGGCTAATAATAGAAGCTAATTTAGGGTTGTTGAGAGGAGTAAATGAAATAAAGTTGTTAAGCACAGTGCCTTGGACATAAAAAGTCTTTTAAAATTAGCACTGATTGGTTACTACTGTCCTCACTGGTCAGTCTTATTTTCAGGACCAATGTCATGAAATGGAAACCATTTTAAAACCTGTATCTTACAGAGAATTCTATAGTGTTTTTTAAAATATTTTTTTTTTTTAAAGATTTTATTTATTTATTTGACAGAGAGAGAGAGACAGTGAGAGAGGGAACACAAGCAGGGGGAGTGGGAGAGGGAGAAGCAGGCTTCCCGCTGAGCGGAGAGCCCGATGCGGGGCTCGATCCCAGGACCCTGCGATCATGACCTGAGCTGAAGGCAGACGCTTAACTACTGAGCCACCCAGGCGCCCCTAAAATATCTTTTTTTTTAAATTGAAACATAATTGACATACATCACTGTAGTAGTCACAGGTGGACAACATGGTGATTCAGCATTTAAACTTACGGCATGATCGCCGCGAGAATCTCGCTACCATCTCTCTGTGGCCGGGTGAGGTTATGCTATCCTCACCTGTATTCCCAGTGCTGTACATTGCTTCTTCACTTCTTTATAACTGGAAATGTGTGCCTTTTAGTCCCCTTCCCCAACTCACCCGCCCCCTCACCCTGCTCCCCAGAATTTTACAGTTTTAAAAAGCATTTCACAAACACAATCTCGTTTGACTAGAGTTTCAACAAATATTGATTCATATACTCAGTAGCTATTGACTGAGCGCCAGTTAGGTATAATCACCATCTCTGGTATTGAAGGTTTGGTACCAAAAACATAGGTAAGAAAGACATGGGCCTTACATTGTGGCGAGGGAGCTGGACAATAAAAAAGTAAACCAGATAGCTTCAAAAGAAGTCGTTTGCATGGAGAAAATTCATGTGGTGGCATAGAGGGTGACCGGAGGCCCACTTGAGAGCGACGAGGTGGCAGGGAAGAGCTTTCTGAGGAAGTGGCATTTAAGTCCTCTCCTGAGTGACAAGGAGTCAGCCATGTGAGGTCCGAGGAAGCAGTGAGTGGAAAGGCCGCTGGTGGGAATGTGCTAGACACGTGCACAGTCCAGAGAGGATGCTGGTGCCTCCGGGGCTCCGTGAGCCAGGGGGAGTGTGGCAGGAGGCGAGGCCAGGGGCAGAGATGTGGGCCTGGGGGACGGGGACGTCGGACTTCATTCTCTAGGTTGTGGGAAGAGACTGGAGAGTTGTAGGCAAGGTGGTGCTAACTCAGATTTATGTTTTAGAAATATGTCCTTTGCTTCTCTATGGAAAACAAGTTGTAAAGGAGCAAGGGTGGACATGGAAAGACCGGCCAGGAGACTTTTGCAGTAGTCTAGGCCAGGGATGCTGGTGGCTTGGATGAAGAGGCTAAATTACTGGCTAGGAGTTCGGATCCTGCCCACAGCTCTGCGCAGTCCAGAGGCAGCCTAGCGTGTGGTTAAGGGCAGCAGCCGAAGCGTCAAACTGTCGTCAGGTTTGAGACCTGACTTCTATGAGATCTTGGACACATTTCTTGACTTCTCTGTGCCTCTTTTTTACCATCTCTAAAATGGCAGTGATGATGGGACCTTCCTGCTAGGATTGCCGTGAGGTGTAGATGAAAGAAGAGTAGTTGTTAAGTGCTCCAGAGAGTGTCCGTTAGTGCTGCTCGCTTTTGTCTTCGCTGCCACCTCCAAACACAAGGACTCCTCCCTCATCATCCTCTACCCCCAGTTTACACTTGAGAGAACTTAGAGAGTGGTTTTGAATTCGGAATATAGGGTTCTTGATTGTGAATCCATTGTACGTTCTGTAACATAATATCTAGTATGAACCGTCAAAGAAAAATACTGATCTGAATGTCTGTAGCTCAAGAGCCCAGTTGTATGCACCTGTGAATGGTTTTTTTTTTTTATTTTTTTTTTTTAATTTATTTATTTGAGAGAGAGAGCAGGAGAGGGGGGAGGGTCAGAGGGAGAAGCAGACTCCCCGCCGAGCAGGGAGCCCGATGCGGGACTCGATCCCGGGACTCCAGGATCATGACCTGAGCCGAAGGCAGTCGCTTAACCAACTGAGCCACCCAGGCGCCCACACCTGTGAATGTTTAAATACACATTGAGAAAATGACAAATAAGGCCGGCAGCGGAGTCCCAGTGTGTAGGAAGGAGCATCCAGAGCCTCTCTCCCCCACACCTTGGACCACTGGAAATTTAAATTCTGAGGTTTGAAGAGAGCTCTGGACACCAAGCCAGAAGCATTAGTAGGCACGTAGTAATACATATAGGAAGGTAGAACTGAATGTTTTGAGGACCTTGTAAGATATTGAATCTCTTTAGAGACATTCAGTTTTTGTTTTTTTTTTTTAAGATATATTCATTTTAGAGAGAGAGCGAGCACATGTGGGAGGGGCAGGGAGAGGGAGAGAATCTCAAGCAGAGTCCACGCTGAGCCTGGAGCCTGACGTGGGGCTCCATCCCACCACCCTCAGATCAGGACCTGAGTCAAAACCAAGAGTCAGATGCTTAACTGACTGCACCACCCAGGTGCCCCCAGAGGGCATTCAGTTCTTTATTAATTGCATTAAATGGGGCCGTACATAATATAAATAAGTGAGACCCAGGGATTATCCCTAAACTGTCTGGTCAGACTTTTAATGAAGGTATTTACCCAACTTTTCTTCGCCTCTTCCTGCCTTTGCCCGTTCCCTTGTGGAGTAAGCGGTGATGTAGGTAAGGAGCAAGCAAGAGAAATGAGAGGCAAGGAGCCGAAGAGTCCATCTGCTTGCCTTGCCTCCAGTTCCTCAGCTGCACCGGTGCCCCCCTCGCTGAGACTGAAGGCGGCCCCTTTGTGTCTGTTGCAGAGTGTGAGCACCTGATCCGCCACATGCTGGTGTTAGACCCGAACAAGCGCCTCTCAATGGAGCAGATCTGCAAGCACAAGTGGATGAAGCTGGGGGACGCGGATCCCAACTTTGACCGGGTGAGCTGAGTTCTGCTTGCCTCCGGGAACTCCACTCAGAGCTCTCTCTTTTGCATGAGATTGTAATTAGGCCGCGACTTGCAAAGGGCGGGTGCTGGGAGCAAACTGTGATGTGTTACTGAAGCAGCAAGGGAAGCAAGCAGGAGGGAATTTTAAAGCCGCTTGAGTTGTTGGAGAGTTGCCTACCACTTGCCCCCAAATCATAGTCCCTCCTTGGCTTTTGAAACCGTATAGCCCACATTCCTGCCGCTAATCGACCACGGGGATAGCTCTTTCCTCTTGTCTTTGTTCAGTGGCTTCTGCAGCATAGCTTTATTTAAACCATTTTGGCCATCCCAAAGGACCTCAGCAAAACAGGGATCTTGTCTGCCTACAGCTGAGTACCTAGAACTTTCTTGCTTAGGCTTTGTCTGAGGCCAAAAATATCCCAAGCTAGGGGCATGGAACAGCTAGTTCCTTATAGACCATCTGCCATCACGACATGGTTAACTGGGGCTTTGATAGCTTGCCTCTTTTTAATATCACAGTTAATAGCTGAATGCCAGCAGCTGAAGGAAGAAAGACAGATAGACCCCCTGAATGAGGACGTCCTCTTGGCCATGGAGGACATGGGACTGGACAAAGAGCGGACGCTACAGGTATCCCTAAAGGCGTGGAGGACAAAGCGAGGGGTAGCCGTATTCCCTCTGTCCTGCCTTTTCCACTCTTTTCTCCTTCCTGAGAACTTTCCCTTTTCTCACTGTTCTTCTTCCTCGGCCCCTCTCTGAGCCTTGACAAGAAGGTGCTTTGGTCTTCTAATGTACTGTTGAGAGGGTTTTGTTATTGACATGCCCTTTCACCAGGGTTTTTTACTCTTTTCCCTTCTCCCTTGGTAGTCGTTAAGATCAGATGCCTATGATCACTATAGTGCAATCTACAGCCTGCTGTGTGATCGACATAAGAGACACAAAACCCTGCGTGTTGGAGCACCTCCTAGCGTGCCCCGAACCATGGCCTTTCAAGCACCAGTCAATGTCCAGGTGGGCAATAACTCCAGCGACCTGAATCGGGACAAGTAACACAGGGGAGGGAGGGGATGGTTAGCCAGCGCTCACTAACTCACTCCAGGAGAGTTTCCTCTCCTGAGTTTCTTCCTTACCTCTGTCCCCTCCTATCTGTCACCTCTTCCTTTGTCAGAGGTCAAGCAGAGGTCAGAACCTTTTTCTTTGACAGAGAGGATGGAAGGGTATTCCAGTACTCAGGATGGGCAACAAGAGTTGCTTTTTTTTTTTTTTTTTTAAGAAACAGCCAATCATTGATAGAGACTGTTTTCCCTAAAGAATGCTTCCTTGTTGTAGCTTCTAAGGGCAGAGGAACCAAAGACTCAGAGGTAGAAACATAGACTTTAGCAACCAAGAGTCCTTTGAAAGACCATCATTATTTCCATCTAGCATGTAAGATAAGAATGTATACGTATGTGCTACTTCCTAGGCGGAGCAGGCTGGTACCACTATGAACATCAGCGTTCCCCAGGTGCAGCTGATCAACCCAGAGAACCAGATTGTGGAGGCAAGTAGTGACCTCGGACAGCTGTCAGCCGAAACCACTTTCTTCCCCGTATCTTTGCTTCCTTTCCTGGCTTCTCATTTCGAACTCCTCTTTATTTCTAATTGGATTGTATTTCCTTTACCTCAGCCGGACGGGACAGTGAACTTGGACAGTGATGAGGGTGAGGAGCCCTCCCCTGAAGCACTGGTCCGCTATTTGTCCATGCGGAGGCACACAGTGGGCGTGGCTGACCCACGGTGAGTATCTGGCCGACAGCCCTGATTAATTCCATGGCAGAGAATTCCCACCTGACTTTGAGTTCCTACCATGGCTCATTTTCCCTACTTCGTTATACCTCCTAGATGAGATCGAATCTCATCTGTTTTTTTTTAACCCAGTTCAGGGTCCCGGGTAGATCAGACTTGATGTGACCAAAGTATTACAGAGCTGTCCCTGGTGGATGGTGGGCCGATAGCCACCATGGTGTCCATTAATCACGATACTTTGGTGAACAGCGTGGTAGTATCTTGGCTCACAAAAACTGAGATCTTCTGATCTAAGTCACATAAAAGGACCCCCTTAAAATTCATCCAAGTTTGACAGCTTTTAGAGATATTGTTTACTACATGTTCTAATGCAAGATTCATCTAGGAAGGGAGGACAAATGAAATGGTGTAATTTATGTAAGTTAAAAATTAAACGAGCAAGAATCCAAAAACATACCAAGTAAGTACCAGTTTCCCACAGCGTTTTCCCAAAACAGTCCTGCAGTATGCTCTCTGATGCCCTCACATGGGGAAATGTACCGAAGGCTGGCAGTCTGTTTTTGTTCTACATTTGAAGACTTTCAACATTAAAAATAGCCTTACCTCTTCTCTGAATATTTCCTTTACTGTGCTGGGAAGAGAAGGTTATGACAAGAGTTCTCTTGAGAATTCAGTTAGGGGCGAAACTGGTGTTCTTATAAATACCTTTCTTCTCTGAGTGATTTCCAAAAAAGCCTCCCGAGGCCTGCTGATTGTTTGCTTTACATTTCTCATTCTCGGCCTACGATCAAACAGGCAATAGGGGAACATTCTGGCTTCAAAGACCATGTCAGCTGCAAAGGGGTGGAGTCCTGTGTCAACTCTGTTCGTGGAAAGATCTCTTATTTTAATGTGTGCTGTAAACCTTACTGTTAGGACGCCACAGCCCTGCACATCCACCACTTATCTGTCCCATCAACACCGACAGGAATAATTGCATTCTTTCCCTGGTGAATCAGTTGCTACTTCGGGCGGCCATTGTTTTAGTGGATGGTCTGTGTCCTCTAGAAGCTTGCTGTTCACCTCCAGGCTTTGAAAACCTGAACTGGAGTGGTGCCAGGATTTCCTCTTGGCTCAGAGCTGTTGGTTTTACATGAGTGGTCAACGAAGAATAGCAAACCCCAGTCCCAAATGGTAAAATGGCAGAGAACCACATTCCATACACTAGACTTCTACTTGCTTTGGGGTCTTAGAAGTACAAATTCAGGAGGAAGGTAAAAAAGTAAAACAACAACAACAATAAAACTTGTGCCGAATGTAGCAGTTTCATCAGTTTGGGGTTATGAGCACTTTGGAGTGAGACTATTAACCAAACTTCTCTGTCATCCTGTTTCCTATCAGCACGGAAGTTCTGGAAGATCTGCAGAAGCTCCTGCCTGGCTTTCCTGGAGTCAACCCGCAGGCTCCATTCCTGCAGGTGGCCCCTAACATGAACTTCATGCACAACCTGTTGCCCATGCAAAATTTGCAACCGACTGGGCAGCTTGAGTACAAGGTACCTGGATGTGGGAGAGGGCTTGCCCCCAGAGAAACACATTTGAGCTTCCTTCAAGAGACTTTGAGGGACCTTGCCCAGGATTTAAGGGTATATCCTTATAGAGAAGGATGATGTCTCTTGCATAGCAGCTTGGGTGAGAGGGAAGATCAGTCTCGACATACTTAAAGGATCCTTTAGTTTCCATAGCTTAGAGGGCTGCTCTTTTCTCCCTCCTCCTTCCCCGCCTCACCATCCCGTCCTGCCCGCTGTACTTACGACAGGAGCAGTCCCTCTTACAGCCGCCCACCCTACAGCTGCTGAATGGAATGGGCCCCCTCGGCCGGAGGGCATCCGATGGAGGAGCCAACATCCAGCTACATGCCCAGCAGCTGCTGAAGCGCCCACGGGGACCCTCCCCACTTGTCACCATGACACCAGTGAGTAGTGGCCCAGGGCCCAGCCTACTTTCTCAGAGGCTTTTGATAAAGAAGCTGTGGGCCTAGGGCTGGGAACCCAGATCACCCACCTAAATGTCTGAATTTCCTCTTCCTCTAAGCTTACCAGGCGCAGCGTATTCCCATTTTCTTCAGGCTTGTAGAATTTTCCAGACTTAATTTTTGGCTAACTTCTTTACTTAATCAAACAATTGCCACTCTGAAGTCCGCTCCTGAAGAGGATCATCCTCAGTGGGCCACTTCCCAGCTCTGCTGCTGGGTGCCACCACAGCCCTGTGGCCCAGAGGTGGGGTCCCCGTGGCCCTCTCACGGTAACTCCTCCCCGCCTGAGGTTAGTGGTGCCTAGCTGTTTTCTCTAGAACGAACTGCTCTTCACCGACCCTTTCTCCTTTGATGAACACTACTTTGCATTTTTGGTACAGCCTCGCTCACTCAATTACTTGGCTTTCGTAAGCTCTAACCTAGTCAGTCAGTGTCTCTCAATCCCATCTTTTTTACATATATATATAATGGTCACATTCAGAGATTGTTTTGCTCTGCTGGGTTCTGTTTATTTCCGGTTATTTTCTTGCCATAGGTAAACCAATTCATTCATTCATTCGTTTGTTCCTTCTTCACTGTCACAGGACCATACAGTTGGGTGCTAATCATACCCACAGCCCTTCCTGGGTGTTTTTAGAGCAGCGCTTCTCAACGTACCTCTGGTGGAGGACTTACCCCCTTCACTCCATCGTGGGATTAATACTTTTGTAAAATACAACAAAAGTGAATTATTAGAGATATAAAAATTTTAAAACATACAAAATACAAGGCTAAATTTTCAGCAGACAAAATTACCCCGTTAAATTGCTATAAAAGTTTCTAAAAGCTTACTCTTTATTTCTCTACTAACCTTATCATGGATTTGGTAACAGAACAGTTTGCGGACTGATACGGGTCCACCATGGGCCCCGCTTTCAGTAACAGGCCTGTCGGGAAAAGGAAGGGATCGTATTCATAGTTCTTGGCCTCACTGAGCTTATCGTATTGGGAAGACAGGATCAACATATGTGTGGTGTTGGAATAATAGTAAAGGACCATGTGTGAGTAAGCAAGCGCCATAGTGTGTACCGTGGCCTAGGTGGTGGCAGAGGCATTCAGGGAAGGACCAGATCGATGCAGGTTATGAAGGATCAGGAACAGCTTTGTGGGAGGTGGAGTGACCTCCTCTGTCCACTGTGACCGTTTTCACCAAGGTCACTAACAAGCTTTTGTTGATAAATCCAGTGGGCGTTTTTGATCTTTTGGGCCTTCCAACTGTATCAGTCACTGTTGACCATTTTTTTTCTCTTTGAAATACTGTCTTCTTTTGGCTTCTGTGACACCATATTCTCATTTTCTTCCCGCCTCTCCTTTTAAGGTTCCCTTTTTGCTTGTTTGTTGAAGTTGGTGAAACCCCAGTTTTATCTTAGGCCCTGTTTCCATCTCATTTTACATACGCTCTCTGGCTGATCCTTGTCTGCTCCCATAATTTCTGTTACCAAATGATTCTCCAGCCCAGATCCCTCTTTTCTTCTGAGTTCTCCACTTCGTATAGATGACCGCCTACCGCATAGATTTAGTTGGTTATCCTACTAGTACTTGACATGTCCTCAAGTTTGAATTTGACATATCCTCAAATGACTGAAGATAACCTGTTTCTCCTCCTGGGTGACAGTGATGGGCATGTCGTCCTCCTGGTCACACAAGCTAGGAATGTGGGATTTCTCTTTAACTCTTCCCTCCCCCTCATCCCCATATCAAGTCAGTTATCCAGCACCTTCCTTCTGTCCTCTCCCACTGCTCCTTCCTTTCATCACTGTCATCCTTTGCCGAGACTAACACAGGGGCCTCCTCACTAGCCTCCTTACCTCCAGTCTTTTCTCCTCATCCCCACCACCAGCCCTTTCTACACTGCAACTCAAGCACGCTAGCTTTCTAGAGTATAAATCTTGTAACGTACTATCCCTGCCGAATCCTTGTGATTCACCGCTGCTCTTCCTCAAAATATACTACTTAATGTGGCATTCAGAGCCATCTGTTAACTGGCCACTCTGTCCCTCTCCTGCCTCATCTGTCGCCACGTCCTGCCTAACCCTGCTCACTCCAGTCTCGTGGAACTGTAGTAAGGGATCCAGACAGCTTAGCATTTAAACAGTGGGATTATTCCCAAAGTTTTCGTTCTGTTTTATAATGATCTTCCATTTTTAAAAAAGCTCTTTCATAATAATCAAAGTATGACAGTTTTTGCTCTAGTCCCTGAGGCGTGGTGATTATGTGAGCCACCAGGCTGTGAGGAGCTATGAAGTATGCACAGCCTTCGAAAGTGCTCATGTAGATGAGGAGAGTCACGATAATGCATGCATTGTGGTGGTTCTCGTTTCACATATGTGTTTTGGTGGGTAATAGCTATTTTAAAGCATTGAATTGCAACTACACGATTATATGTTATGTACCAAAATGTACTTTTAAAAAACCATGATGCTTTTTTGGCACAAGCGACATCTAAATGCTGGTGATAACATTAATATGAAACAACAGGCCAGTTCCTAGAAGTTCCAGGTAAACAAGCTTCTGCTATATTTTCAGGTCCCCAGACACCAGCAGGCCTTCTCTTTTCTGTCAGCCTAGAAACCCCAGAGGCTTGTAAGCCTTCTCCTCTATGCGTGGCCAGCTCCTGTTTACCCTTCAGGTTTCAGGTGAAGTGTCCCATCCTCCAGGATGCTTTCCTCAATTCTCAAGGGCCCCAGTAGAGGATCAGGTCATGCCATTCTGTAATTGTCTGCTTCCTTGGCTCTGTCCTCCACTAGACTGTAAAATGAGGGCAAGACCTATGTTAATTCCTATATCATCCTGGAACATGGTAGGCACTCAGCTCTTTGTTGGATGAGTGAACAAAGATGAATCAGAGGAAGAAATGCAAATTAAAATCACCTGAGCGAGGTAAAAATGGAAAGCTAGAAAGGCATATGAAAGTTCCGTATAACCCAGGGGCCCTAGAAAAGTTTTGTAAATAAAATGAACAGAAAGGCCTGTCCCCATCCCCGTTTCTGGAACAGGCGGTATTCCGGAAGAAGCGCCACCTTGAGCTTTTCCTTCCTGTCTCCCTGCAGGCAGTGCCGGCAGTTACCCCTGTGGACGAGGAGAGCTCGGATGGGGAGCCAGATCAGGAAGCTGTGCAGAGGTAATGTGACATCTGGCGGTGCTTGCAGAACGTCCTTGGGCAGGCTCCCCTGCAACCAACGAAAGGTCACCTCTGCCCAAGGAGGTGGCACAGTGCAGCTTCAACATTTGTGTGGTCTCTTTGCTCAAGCCAGATGGCGTGTTCCCACATGGAAGTAACAGAAGACTACCCAGAAAATGTCATTTCTGTAAGCGCCATTGGAAGTCCCCTAAGTGACAGCAATAACCATAAGAACTTTTTCTCTCCTCCCTCCTTCCTTATTTGCCCCCCTGCCTTCATATTGCAACTCTGATAGTATTCACAAGGCGCAAAGCCTGCTCCTACCTGCCAAGAACTGTTTACTGAAAAGGAATTGGAGATTTGGGATGACAGTGATCCTAGCTAGTCTGGCCATGGACCTCTGGCATGGACTCTTCCTTTCCAGGAGAATGAATACCTCTTGTACTGTGTGCTGTATGCTTCTTCCATCCCCTTGTACCAACAAAGAGATAATGAAAAAAAGAATATGGGATTCGGGCCAGGGACAGATGCAAATATCTATTGTTGGCAGAACCTTGTTGAGAGATGCCTAATTCACAGAAAACGGCAGTGACCATCAGGCATGCTGTGCTGTTCGTTTTACCTCAGTCCCATTAGCCGTGGTCCGCAGCTCCATGCATGCCCCCTTGTGGGAGTCGTCTTTCTTATTATCCGGGGAGTGGGGGGTTGACCAGAATCCAGCATGTATTTTCCCAGAAATACAGGTGTTCTTCAAAATTATATGTTTTTCCCTTGAGGGAAGTTGAAATAAAATGGTTTTCACGGGCTCCTGGGGAAACTTTGGGTGTCTTTATCAAATGGGTATTCAACCACTCATGGCTCACCCTTTGGCAAGTTTACGTACCACTAATTGCTGTATAGTCTGTTAACTGGTTTTAGCTGAAAGAGGCAAAGTAGTTAAGAACGAAGCAGGAGCACTTTTTCAGAACCTGACGGTGGCTGGCCAGTACTCTCTTCTTTACCCACCGTAGCTCTGTATGGGGGCTGCTATTCAAAAAGAAGCTGGCCCCATTTGGAAAGAAGAGTGGAGAACAAGGTGGTGGCCGGTGGGCCAGCTCCTCCTACAGTTTAGCCAATAGAAGAAAAATCGTCGTAACCTTTTTCTTTTCCCCTCTTGATGCTATTGTCTCTATAGTTTGCTGATAATAGGGTATATGATGTTGCAAATGGGCCCCTGCTGGTGCCATGAAAAAAAAATTAGGAAACTTACTGCCTTTGTGCCTTCATTATACAGTAGCGTTTCACTTTATCTTCTTTGTCTTGGACTTCCCTTCCTCCAGCTCCACCTTCTTTCTTCTTTAGACCAACATTTAAAGGGTAAAGTGCCCATCAGTCCTGACGTCATGGAGAGGGATGATGCTTCTTTTATGCATGCCCGAGAAGAGCACAGTGACCGAGGAAGCCATCAGCTAGATGGAGGGGGACCCATGGCTTATTTTTGGTATTAACAAGTAGTGGATCCGATAGATCTTTAGAACGAAAGTCATCAGCTTGTCAACTCCTTAGCTTTGAAACTTCTGTTTTCTTGCCTTGCCTTCCCCAACCCCCCGCAACGCCAAAAAAAAAAAAAAACAATTCTGAATATTTCATGCAGTTTCGTTTCTTCATCCTCTAGAGAATGTGGTTCCCTTGGGACAACATCAGTTTTTCTTCTCTGATGATTGACTTACAATCATGGGGCATGAGAGGAGGGGTAGTTTTGGAAATCACTCATCCTCAAAGGGAAGGATCTGTTTGCTGTGACTTGTAAATGAGGACAATCTCAAGACCTGGGGGGGCCGTTGGGATCTAGAGACGTACTTGGAGTCCTTCTGAATATCTGTCTTTCTTGGCTCATCTCTAGGAATAATACTTAGGGCTCATTTCCTCTGACTTGTATTTTGGAAATTTGGAGGGACAAGAAGAATAACAAGTGGAAAATAAATCCTTCTATCGAATGGAACGAAGGAAGGAAAATCAGTCTTCTTTGTGAGCTACATCTGTTTTCTCTCTTCTCTTAGTGTCTACTCTTAGGTTCGAAATTCAGCCACTTGAGTGGTAAGCCAGCTTTTCTTGGCCAGCTGACCATATTTCACTTTCATCCAGCCAGGGGTCTGTTTGCCATGGAGCCCTTTTTGCTCTGGCACTATTTCATTCTGAGTGCTTTGGATTAACTTCTAATGCTTCTTGCAGAGGAATATTCCTGTCTGTCTTTTTTACTATGAAATGTGCTCCTGCTTGTTGCAGGTACTTGGCAAATAGGTCCAAAAGACATACACTGGCCATGACCAACCCTTCAGCTGAGATCCCACCGGACCTACAACGGCAGCTAGGACAGCAACCTTTCCGTTCCCGGGTCTGGCCCCCTCACCTGGTACCTGATCAGCATCGGTGAGTAGCCACATGAGCTATGTGAGCTCCTTGAGGCTCATCGGGCAGGCACCCTTCTTGCTAATCTTACAGTGATGGTGACGAGCATCGAGGCTTTAAGTAGCATCCTGAGCTTACATCTTCTCAGCTCCTTGCACTAAGCAGTGCACAGGGCCGTGTGAGATTCTTCTTTCCCATTACCTCGTAGACATGTTTACGGTCTGCAGTTCATTCTCGTGATTCTAGGTGTTGACTCATAGATGAAATTGAACTTGAAACCTGCGAGGAAGTGAGGTTCTCAGAGGACAGCTGGACGTGGGAGGATCTGTAGCCTTATCGGTAGACTTGACCGTTCATAACCCATCACCTTCAAAAGAATGAGCATATCTTACCATGTTACCACTGAACGGTGAGCTTGGACATGGAGGAAGGTACATCCCTTTGTGAATGGTAGAGCAGAGGTACTGCATTCTCTTGAGTGTTGTGCTCAAGAAGTCATTCTTGCATATTCTGATGGCTGAAATCTTTTACTAGGTCTCTCTTACATTTGTAATTCATCCTCTTGAAGAAATAACAAGCTTAACCTTCTTCCTGGCCAAGAAGACTTCTTAAAACTGAATATCCAAGTAAGCCTGGAAGCACAGGGCTGTGACACTTGGCTAGATTAAGAAGGTGATTACCTTCTGTGAATACTTTGATGACTAAAACCCTTGGCTCTGTCCCCTCTAAAGCTGTCCCTAAGCTCGTGGGCCACACTTTCCAGGCCACCCCCAACTGCTGAGCTTATTTTATTTCAGTCTTGCTGGGAGGACAATGAAAGCAGTTTTACTTGAGAAAGTTGAAAAGCAGTCAGGTTCTAAGGAAATGAAATTTATAAATGTATTGTTACGAAATCTCATAACCAGCTCACACTGGCAAGCTTGACACAATGTTTTTATTGTGGTGAGTTACCCATCGGGTGTCCTATAATCAGCAGAGACCGTGGACTCTGCGCAGACGGAGTCTGAATTAGCGCCCTGTTGGCACTCTTGGAAGAAGGGAGATAAGCTATTAGAGACGACTGTGAATAACAGTCAGAATGGTCTGGTCGGAGTAGCAGGAATGACGGCTCTCCAACAAAAACTCCGGCACAGAAGGACAGTATTTTCCTAAGGAAAATCTCTCCAGACCTACACTGTGAGGGCACTGCAAGAGAAGGGACTTGGGGTGATGGTTGGAGAGGTGCCCTCCCACAACCCCCCCCCCCCAAATCCCCCCCCCCCGGCTTAAATTTTCCATGATTTCTCAACAACGCTGAGCTCACCACTGTTAGCCAATAGAACCTTTATTTCTTTTTTCTCCCTGTCTCTGTCTTCCCTGCCTCCACAGCCTGACAGTTGTTGAGACTTTGTCAGGGTCTGTTGTCCAGCCGAAGTTCCCTCGGGTATGCTTGTTTCATCGTCCGTGTTCCTCAGGAGACCCTCCTGTCGGGGGAAACGTGGAGATTGGCGCCTCTCCACAGCCTCTCTCACGGGTCTTCTACCCTGTGTCCGTGTGTCTAGTGAGGAAGGCTACGTCGGCCACAGCTCCCTGTGTGTGTGGTTGCCGCCCTGCCTACAGTCACCGTCCAGGCCTTGCCTGCTGGAAATGTGTCCACCGTCTGTGTTCGTGTGAACACTCGTGGTGGAGTGTTTCAAGGGTTTCCTGTGGCCAAGCCAGTTTGAACTGGAATGAATACTTGATGAGTGGCAGACTGTGCAAGGTGGGGCATTTATGCAAACTCAGCCATTCTTGGTGGGATTCCTGTAAAAACACGGCAGCACGAGAGACTGAAGGTAGTCTGCAGAGGACAAGAGCGCCTTTGCAGGGCCAGAAAACACTGGAAATGGGTGGCCTAGACAGATTATTGAGTTCCTCTCATTTTGCAGAGGAAATGATTCAAGAATAGCATATATACATCTATTCTTCTGGGGTGTAATTCATGAAATCCAACACGGAGACGGAAGAGGGCTCTGATCAACCGTTTCGATCCTGGAAATGTGTAATTTTAAAAGCTAAAAAAAAAAAAAAAAAAGCGTGATTTTAAAAAGCGAACACAGGATGGATTTTATCTAGGTGGGGAACCAAGTTCCTATTTGAAAAGTGTAGTGGGAACATCAGCCTGATATGGGGCTGTCCTGAGTTCGAACATGATTGCAAATAAGAATAAAACACAATGGATCCTGTGAGTGCTTCTGAAATGAGCAACTCCATCAGAACTCTTCCTCTGAAGTTCCTGTGCCCGACTGACCAGGGTCAGTCTCTGCACAACCCGAGCTTCTGGAAAAGTCACGAAATACCCGGGCCTGGGAGAGCGGCTCTGAGGGGGGAGGGTGGGTTTTGTGCAGACAGGCTGAATGAACCCCTTGCAGAACACAGCTTTCTGAGTGAATCAGAAATGGGTCCATTATCAGAAAATATCGAAAGCGTAAGGGTCGAATGTTAGGAGAAAATAGTATCTGCTGTCTTTGCCTCCAGACCCCTGAAGTAGAAACATAGGAAGTACGGAGGAAGTGCTCCCGAGGGCGGCTTTCGTGATCCCCATTTCTGGAGAGTGTCTGCCAAAACCATGCGTCTTCTGTGTTACGCATGTGTGTTTGTGCTCATTTCATCAGCGCACCACTGTGTCGAGCTTCCGGTAGAGCCTGAAACCAAAGTCATCATTAGCAAAGTGAGGGTAAATGGCTTGCCCCCACGGCCACAACCCTGGACCACTCCGCACAGTCATCAGCACCCCCCCGCCCCCCCAACCCCCCTGCCTCCCCCAACCCTCCCCGTCTGCATTGTATTTGAACTCGCTTGTCCACCTGCTTCCTTAGCCTTGCTCTGCTTCAGTCCAGAGTGAGTAGCTGGCAAGGGGGTACATCATTTCACCCATAGTTCAGTGTGATACCATCTGCCCTGGACATGAAACCCTGGCCCTTCCCATCAGCTGCTGGAATGCTGCCTTGGCAGTCATTTATCTGCTTACCTCAACCCATAAGCATCTCTTTCTGATTAGGTAACGGGTCGAGGTGTTAGCGTCTAACTCTCATGCTGTCTTCGGCATTCCTTATCGACAGCTTTTTCTTTCTTTCTGTAAGATCCCGGCTCTGTTCTGACTGAGCAGTGGGATTTTTGTCCGCACGATTCCTCTTTCGCCAGGAGGTTGGAGGGAGGCGTGCTGCTCTGGGAAGTTAATTTTCACAGTGGCCAACTGTATTTGCGTTGACCAGGTACACACGCAGGATCTTGAGGCCCGCATTCCTTGAGAGTGTGCCGTCTCCATCTGGGGCTCAAAAGTCCCCCCATCCTCCCGCTTGAACCTCCACCCTCCACTTTCTAGCCCAGAACCTTTGACGTCCGAGCCAGGCCTTTGCCACAAAGCTGACCATAGTTTCCTTCTGGTCATTCGGAGAGTGCTGCTCAGGGAAAACTGGGTCAACCAGTGGATTTGAGGTTTCGAGAGGCACTAGACAGACGTGATTATAAAAGCCAGATCTCCTATGCAGCTTGGCCTGAGGGCCACTGAGAAGCTCCTGTCTCTGACCTAGTATGTTTGTAAGAACTTGGATGTATTTGATCCCAGGACCTCACCAGGCTTGGAAAGTAAGCCAGCTACAGGTAAGTGGAAGTGGAAGCTGTGCAGCTGGAGTTCTCGGAAGGGCAGCAGGCTAGGGCCACGGCCGGCCTCTGGAGACGGCCTGGAGGTGGCGTCATGCGCAGGGCTGCTCGAGCAGCCAGCCACCCTTGCGTTCTGGAACAGCCGGCCCTGGGTGATTTGGTCCGAGCCGCAGAGTCCTCGCCCCTAACCTTCTCTTCCCGTGTATTCAGCTCCACCTACAAGGACTCCAGCAGCCTGCACCTCCCCGCGGAGCGTTTCTCCCCCGTGCGCCGGTTCTCGGACGGGGCCGCAAGCGTCCAGGCCTTCAAAGCTCACCTGGAGAAGCTGGCAAGCAGCAGTAGCATCAGACGGCTGCAGCAGGTAACGGCGGGGGCGGCAGCCCCTCCGGAGAAGCGCGGGCACGCCGAGCAGTAGCGCGGGCAGGAGCGGGCAGGCAAATCGCCGCCCCGCCCCGTCAAGGTTCAGATCCGGGTAGCTTCCTAACGCTCCTTCCCTCCTCCTTGGTACGTACGGCTTTCCCCAGGCTCAAACAGCCCCCACGTCCCGTCCCCCCCCCACCGAAGGGCCTAGATTTTCCTCCCGTCTCTGTAATTTTCAGAGAGGGATTCCTGGGCATGGGTTTCGGTGGGAAGCCCCAGGGAAGGGGCTTCTAAGCAGCCTTGGCATTCCTCTCATGAGTCATGGGCGCTGGGTCTTGCTGGAGCCTGCTCGGCGTTGTTGCCACCTGGCATGCTCTGCAGTGGGTATGGGATGGGGCTCCCAGAGGAAGGAAGAAGGGTACCTCCAGGCTTCCGTTAAGGGCCAGTTTCCTTTCTGCCTTCCCGATGACCAGGCTGCAAGCGACAGGTGCTCTGCGCACAGATTTCACACCGGACACTTCCACTGGCCCACGGGCCACCCCTGGTGTCTTCCATTCGTTCACCCGGCACGGAATGTGAACGTATTTAGGACACGAATACCTATATACAGCTGGGTCGGTTGTTCATTAAGGACACCGCTCTTCTCTTGGGGCTCTTCCTGCCCCTGAGATGCCTCTGCATCTGCTGACGTCCCTGCATGGGGTGGGCCCGGCTGCGCCCCATCTGTATTACCTGCTTTCCCTTCAGGAGTGCGAGCAGCTGCAGAAGATGTACGGGGGGCACATTGATGAGCGAGCCCTGGAGAAGACCCAGCAGCAGCATATGTTATACCAGCAGGAGCAGCACCACCACATTCTCCAGCAGCAGATTCAAGTAGGCCTTCACTCTTTGCTCGCTCCAGCTTGTTTGGAGTTTGCTCTCAGGCTGATTTGCCTGTGAATTTTGGAGGAGATCACGCAGGGCAGAATGGAGTTATGTTTATGGTTGACTTGTTTGAGTAAAGGTAATCAAACTTTTGGACGAACCACAAAAGCATAAACTTCAGTCACAGATAGTTCTTTCTGTTTCTTCCCTTCCCGAGAATAGCTCTGATTGATCCTCAAGCTGACTATTATTTTTCTCCTTTCCCCCATATGTTTAGGATTCTATCTGTCCTCCTCAGCCTTCTCCACCTCTTCAGGCTGCATGTGAAAATCAGCCAGCCCTTCTTACCCACCAGCTCCAGAGGTAATGAATCACTGGTCTCACGCCTCAGCCGTTGTCTCTCTAATTGCTATCCTTGGCCTGCCTCTTATGGGAGGGATTGACTGACTTCAGCATTCATCTTGGAAGAACCTCTGTGAAAAGCAGAGAGATCAGTTTAAATGTTAGCTGCCTCCCTGAAATCCTAACGTATTCAGTCCCACGCTATTTCCTTTTCTTAGCCCCACAGACAAAGTAATCTGACAGGCATACCGGCCAAGACCCAGGCCCACATGCCCTCTGCCTCTCTTTGTCTGGGAAGTCTGGTAAACTAAGATGTGATTAGGTCTGCGTACACTGTGGTGGGGGATGTACATATGTTTTTCTAGCCTGGAGCCTTATCAAAACTTAAAAAAGAAATCGTTTCTTACACGTTATGTGTAGCGTATGGCTGAGAGTAAGGTCAAGGTTATACTGTCACCTCAGGAAATTTACTTATTTATCTGGTTTTGTTGTTTTTTAAGGTTAAGGATTCAGCCTTCAAGCCCACCCCCCAACCACCCCAACAACCATCTCTTCAGACCACCCAGTAATAGTCCTCCCCCCATGAGCAGTGCCATGATCCAGTCTCACGGTGAGTGTGGAGGTTTAGACTGAACCATGATAAGCCACATGGAGAAAATGAGTCCTAGTCTTGAGTGTTGCAGGTGTGCAATAGTATTTAAGGGTATAGGCTATCGAGCCCGGCGGCCTTGGTTTGAATCTTGGTCCCACCAACACCTTAGCTGTGCCACCGCAGGTAAGTTACTTAACTTCTGCATGCCTTAGCCTCTTCAAATGTAAAAGAGGGATAATAAGAGTATTTAATGAATAAACACATGAAAAACACTTAGATAATAGTTCTCAATAAAGGGTAACTATTACAATTATTTTCAATAAAACCCCCGCCGACCCTACCAAATAAAAAAAGCTGCTACCAGAACCTCCCTTACCGTCATGCCTCATTGGTTCTCCATCACGTGGGGTCCTCCCTTGTGGGTGTTTGGGAGGAGGTTGAGATGAGTATACCCGAATTGGTATGGGTCTTTAGAGACCAGTGAGTTGAGGATTTAGTATTCCCCAAACTGGTAATCTCTTAAGTAACGCCACACAGTCTAGAGCCCCTGAAGAGTCTGCATTGGTCTCTAGGCCCTTCCTACTCCATGTGGGGTTCCCTGACTAACGGTATCAGCAGGAAAAGTAGAGTCTCGGGTCCCACCCCAGACATGCTGAATCACAGTCTGCATTTCAGCAAGATCCCTGGGCCATTCGTATGTCCGTTTGAGTTTGCTAAGCTCTGCCCTAGATCAGAGCTACTCAAAGAATACTCCAGGACCACCTTTCAGAGCCACTTACTGAAAATACAAATTCTTGGGGCCCCACCTGGACCCCACCCAGAATCCTGCGGGTAGGACCCGGAAATCTATTTTAACAAGTTCTCCACACGCTGCCGTTTGCGAAGCGCTGATCTAGACGGTGTCCAGTGTGAGTGTCCTCGCCATTTCCTCCTGCTTCCAGCCGGCAGGTGACCTGGGCATCGGGTCACGCTGGGTTTCCTCTCTCTCCAGGCGCCGCCTCGCCCTCCCAGTTTCCAGGCTTACCGTCCCGAGGCGCAGTCTTCCAGCAGCAGCCCGAGAACTGCTCCCCTCCTCCCAGCGTGGCCCTAACCTGCCTGGGCCTCCAGCAGCCTCCGCAGTCACAGCAGGTGACCATCCAAGTACAGGAGCCCGTTGACATGCTCAGCAGTATGCCAGGGACAGCTGCAGGCTCTGCCGGGCGAGGCCTCTCCATCAGCCCCAGTGCCAGTCAGATTCAGATGCAGCACCGTACCAGCCTGATGGCCACCTTCAGCTACGGGCACCGCCCCTTGTCCAAGCAGCTGAGTGCCGACAGTGCAGAGGCCCACAGGTAAGGCTGCGGGCAGGCACCGGCCGTCTGTCCAGGTGATCTGGGAGGGAGGAAGCCCCTTAGCAGGGCGAGAGAGGAGAAGGGGAGGAGAGTGAGTCTGGCTGGGCTGTGCTCGTCTCACCCTTTCCCAAATCAGGGGGGTGGGTGTGGGATGAACTTGAAACCTGTTTATTGACCCAGGATCAAAGTGCTAATAATGAGACAGAGAAGGAAAATGACAGAGCTACCTTCCTATTTGTCTCCAAAGAAGAAAATGGCCTATTAGAGGAATTTCTAAAAATGCCAGACCCCTTGTCTATTTTTTTAGGATTCTTTCCCTCTGTCACTTTTATTCTAAGAGCTTGGTGCTTCTTAGTAGCTCAGAGATGCTGTAAAATAGGCCAAGTCCCTCTCTTGAAGCTGGAGCTGGAGCTGTCCCCCACACGGTGCCCCGTGACCCCTGGCGGTGACCGGAGAAGCGAATGCGAGGACGAGTCGGGATGCTGCGTGCATCCCCATCTTCCCCGTCACACCGCACTTCCCTGTCCCGGGGAGGGGGGGCTCCCTACTGAGGAAGAGGAGTAGCTGTTCCCCAGGGGACTCTAGCGCACCTGTCACGCGGATGCCTGGTACTCACTCCCTTTTGTGTCTGCAGCTCGAACGGGAATCGGTTCTCCCCTGCTAACTACGACCAGGCGCACTTACACCCCCACCTGTTTTCGGACCCGTCCCGGGGTTCCCCCAGCAGCTACAGCCCTTCAGCAGGAGCGGGGTTCCCTCCAGCCCAAGCCCTGAAAGTCCCTCCACTTGACCAGTTCCCCACCTTCCCTCCCAGCGCCCATCAGCAGCCAGCGCACTATGCGGCGTCGGCCCTGCAGCAGGCCCTGCTGTCCCCCACGCCGCCAGACTACACGAGACACCAGCAGGTGCCGCACATCCTCCAGGGACTGCTCTCCCCCCGGCACTCGCTCAGCGGCCACTCGGACATCCGGCTGCCCCCGGCGGAGTTCGCGCAGCTCGTGAAGAGGCAGCGGCAGCAGCAGGACTACCCCGACCTGTTCCGGCACAGGAACCAGGGGGACGCGGGGAGCCTGGCTCCCGGTCTCGGGGGGCAGCCCTTGGCAGAGCGCCAGGCTTTACCGTATCAGAATGCTGACTCGCTCCACCACCACCACACCAGCCCCCAGCGTCTCCTGCAGATCAGGGCCCAGGAATGCCTGTCGCAGGCCGCGCCCCCCAGCCCCGCGCACGGGTACGCCCAGCAGCCGGCCCTCCTGCGCTCGGAGAGCATGGAAGAGGAGTGCTCCTGTGAGGCAGCCACGGACAGCTTCCCGGACAGGAAGCGCTCAAACGCAGGGACCAAAGGCTGCCGTGACAGCCCCCTGCTCTTGAGTACTGCTGGACCCGGGGACCCCGAGTCTTTACTGGGAACTGTGAGCCACACGCAGGAGTTGGGGATGCA